ACCGCAGATACTTGAAATTTTCACTGAATTTTTACATAGGCATTTTCTATATTTGATAATTTTTTTTTTAGTTTTATTTTGCTATTAATGTCAATAAAATTTTTATTGGTTGGGTCAAAAAGCTTCATAATTTAATATAAGGCAAAGGCTTCCAATTCTACTCGTTTCATCTTTATTATAAAGTACTGCAGTAGAAAAAACATAATAAATAATATATAATTAACAAAATAGTCACGAAATACCCATAAATAACAGTTATAAAAATATTCTTCTACTAACCTATTCATCGCAATTTTATATTCGAGTCAACAAGACGGGTAAGTGATAATACATTGAGTGTTATTATAATTTCTAGGGGAATTAAAAAAAAATCAAGTTGTCGAGTTCTTTGAATTATCGAAGTTCGAGTTATCACGACTCGACATGCATATATAGTGGCAGTTAACGATTACTCAATATAATAGTAAAATAGTACAGTGATTAGTGCTCATAGGAAAAATTTGACATTTATATAATATTAAATATGCATGTGGCCATGTGGGTATGTGTAATGTGTGAGTGTGTCCGGCRATTATTAAAGTGGCAAATTTAGGCAGCTGACTCTTTAATGGCGCTCTGTATAGCCATAGCGTTACGGAGGCAAATGAAAATCTTGTGAACATATTATATTTTTCAAGACTTAAGCTTAAGTACTATTAATAACTTACAATATTGAAAATTCTTTGTCGATAATGTCTGTACACCTCCTTTAAGTCATCACATTATAGAAATAAGTATTATAAAATAATTTATACTAGGTATAGTAATATAAGGTATAAGCAATATATTTATACTAGGTAAGTATATATTAATATTTACAAAAATCGAAACACAGGGATTTAACTGAAATAAGAATTTATCGGSGATTGATGATCAATAGTGTTACGACTCTTACGATCAGTTCGTCCTTGTGATCAATATTGTCGTGTGGTGAATTATTTACGATCAATTGGCCAATAATTTACATAATATATCAATTAATGTAGGATTTAATACCATTGATCATCATAATAGGTATAGTTTGTAACCTCTCACAAACAGCGTGGTTTTTCGCCGATCCAAAATGTGTACATTAAATTACATATGTATTAAACAGTCGCCCCATAAAAGCAGGTGTCCCACAAGGAAGCGACATCACCCCTTTCCTATACTCAGTGTTCACCCATGATATCCCAAAGACTTTTTACACGTTCATTGGCACATACGCTRACGATACTCTAATATCGGCGTCACATCGCGATCCTGAAATTGCTAGATTAAGGATCCAAAACCACCTTAACATGATTAACTTATGGGCAAATCGTTNCGATACTCTAATATCGGCGTCACATCGCGATCCTGAAATTGCTAGATTAAGGATCCAAAACCACCTTAACATGATTAACTTATGGGCAAATCGTTAGAAAATAAAAATAAACGAAACCAAATCAATTCACGTAACATTCACTTTACGAAACTCTGACTGCCCACCAGTTACACTCAACAACAAAGTCCTTCCGTCAGCAAACGAAGTTAAGTACTTAGGGCTCACATTTGACAAACGTCTTACGTGGGGTCCACACCAGTGCTTGATTTGGGGGGGGACGCGGGGGGACGGAGTCCCCCTTCTTTTTAAATTTTTTTTTAGCGTACCCCTTTTCTAATTATTTGAAACGGAACGCTGGGAACGCAACATTTACTATAGAGAATTTGTAAATCATCAGTTTTTCTGATGCAAAATATACCTAAAGGCTATTGCCATAATATTTGTACATTTCAATAGGTACATTAGTGATACGAAGGTATAAARGTATACTATACTCCGTACCACGACTACCACGAGAGAACGCATATGCTCGTACGCGAAAAAAACGAATTTTCGCCAGCCGTCGTATGCGTCTCTMGTGGTACGGAGTATAGCTGTACGCCTGTACTATAAACCTTATTTACGAATAACCAATCATATAAATCATATGAACATTTATGGACCTTATTTAATATGTAGAATTATGTAGAATTATTAATTGATTGTATATAATTTAATGTCTTAAAAAAATAATTAACAAACAAGTGTGTTTTTCTTTTAATATATGTTTGTATAATAAAATTATTTTTTTGGATTATGGGTGGTTAAAGGGGGGTGTGGGGGGCTTTTCCCCCCACGCTAATGTGACGGTTAATTTTTTGTGGAACGCTTGTTCATCAAACATCTGCTGAGTCCCCCTTCTATTTTTTTTCCAAATCAAGCACTGGTCCACACCTAAAACTAAAGCGGAAACAAGTTAA